GGTGGCGAGAAGAGATCAGCTATGGGGGGAGTCGGTTAGATTGGTATTGTCTCTGAGTGACTATATCCTAGTACAGGGAAGGCTAGGATTTACCCTAGGGTTAGGAGGCCAGAATAGCTGATATAGCATTTACAGCTTTTACAAATACTAATCATCACCATCATTAGCATCAAGAAAGAACGAGGTGAGTGGGAGAAAGAGATGGTGGGATATCACGCGTCCTACTAGTGAGGGGGCTAGCTGGTAGGATGGGAATAAGGTATAGCAGCGGTAGAGATGGTGGCTCTGCTGCAGTAAGTGTTTCCGGAGTGAGGTAAAGAGGATTGACGGGCGGGGTTGCTGAGTCATTATCTGAATTCTGCTCATTTCAAAAAAAAAAAAAACTGGTTGCCAAGGGGGTCTTAAACCACTAGTACCTTTCGGAGGTCGGGCCCGACGACGACTGCCATTGATAAATCTGATCGGCGGCCGTCGTTTTGTTTCGGCCGCTGCAAAGGTCGGATGCCTACCCGAGGCCCGCTATTTTCCAAGCGGCAAAGGTACTAGTGGTTTAAGAATGATTTATGATTCTGCGGAATCCTAGCAACTCATTTCAGACGGATCCATTGCTGATATACTTAGTGATGTGCAGCTGTTCGATGCCAGAACGACGCTGGCCGGAGCTGGGGTGTTGCCCTGTAACCTCCTGATGCAGGAGTGTGAGGCATAGTAGAGAGATCTGGGGATGCTTTGGGGTGGGCATTCCAAGGGACAACCAAGGGTTGCTGCGGGGACGATGCTGGTCGGAGCTGGGGTGAGTCGTTTTGCCCTGTAACCCAGCAGGGTGGGGGTGCGAGGCCTGGAAGAGTCCGGCAGGGAGTAAGACAGGGTGGAGAGTTTTAGAAAGGTTGCTAGGGACGGTTTCCAGCAGTTTCACTACTGTCTATGTAAAGGGATGCTGGACCCGGTTTCCAGCAGGTGCAGCTCCCCACCAATAGGAACGGAGCCATCTATCCATCTAGGGGAGTAGAGGAGGTGTCTACTCTTACCAGCATCCCCTCTACTCCCCATCATAGATGTTTTTTCCAAAAAAAAAAAAAGAAAAAAAAAAAGGGTTTTGAACATTCATCGGACCTCTGTGGTGGCGTGTTTTTGAGGTGACCACACCTTTCTCTTGATAGTTCTTAATAGTTTCTCAGACTCCTGAAATTTCTTCAATAGTTCTCAACAGTTCTCGGATTGATTCCCAGTCGAAGTCGGGTAATGATATGTCAAGCTTTAATAGCATAAGACACAGTAAATGGCCTTGAGATCCGAACGTGCACCACCACACCAAAACACAGAGAATAGGAAGAAGGAGATAAAAGATAAGGAAGATAGAGGAAGAAGAGAGGGGAAAGCAAACCAAACCAAGGAATAGACGAGTGTCCCGAACGCGACTTGTTATAGCGAAAGAATGAACATGAAGCACAAATTCGGACAAAAAATCATCCGACCGGCGTTAAGACCCGACCGGTTTCGCCTGGCCGCCAACCAGGACTCATCAGGGGTCTAAGTCACTTAAAGGACACTAACCTAAGACCTACTTATATACGACCRGACCCTGAGAAAACAACCGACCGCGCCCTGCACAAAGCAAGCGTCATYCGAACACTAGCCACGATCCRAAATTTTTAACRATCCTTCAACAGTTCGAACCTTCGTAGAAAGGCAAAAAGGAAAAAACAAAAAAGACTAAAAAGGAACACGTCATCGGTATGAACCCCAAGAACACCCTAAAAAAAGGGGGGAACCACGTAGAGCATCAAAAACAAAGTCCACAGCAGTAACCTGTGAGTCCGACCTAAAAAATAACCAAGTACCAGAAAGGACCCCACAGAGGACTGAGAACTCGTCGACAACAGTAACCTAAGGAACCATGAAGGACCAAATAGAACCTCCACGCGTAGAAACTCAAAGTCACCAAGACGAAGTAACCGAACCAGCTACGCATTCGTACGATCGAAGCACGAAACCACATTCAACACAGGCGAGTAAAAAACAACAAATCTAACTAAAGTTACTAAACCAACAGATGTCTTCACCAACCCTTCATCATCACAACAGTCGAATCCACAACTCCCTATTATCGGGAGCAAGGCCAGAGGCCAGAACAAGTCACAGCAAGCGACCCCAGTCAGTCAAAATCGGCAGCCATTCCGACCATAACCCACCAAATTTCTTCGAAAAGTAAGTCAATGCTGAGTCAAAGTACCCATCTGGATAACCTCGTTTCCACAACTCGCATTTCAGAGAGAACAGAAAAGGAACCACCATGCCTTCAATGGAGGAGTATGTTTTTGCTCGATGAAGAAAGGAAATAATCACCGCCATCTTCTGCTGTCGATTAGAAAAAGACACGTAATCCTGAATACATTGAAAAACCACCGTTCCATTGACTTCCTCTCGTTGATTCTTCATTAGGGGGAAGCACATTACCCCCTTCTTCCCTTCGGACACTTGGAGCGCACATCCAAGAAAATCCCAGCATTGACCAATATTAGTCTGCTCGAGAATAAGATTATCATCGTAACACCGTCTAAATGTATCGATCAGGCCCAAAGCCTTAACGTAAGAACATTCGTCATCCTTCCTACACTTGACAAACACCGAGACATCGTCCACAAGTCGGGAACCCCGGAACAAACGCTGGTCAACCCCGAAGCTGGTCAAAAAGACAAATTCATTAAAAACGCAAAGTAAGCAAGCTAGCGCTGGACTCGAAGATTTCCTTATGGGTATCCCAATCTCCTGTCGTAGCAATTGTTCGGAAGCCGAAACGAAAGTATGCTCAAGCTCGAATGAAATGAAATCAAAAAATTTCGCCAACGAGAGACTCCTCCACCCAACCTCACACCGCCCGGTAAGCAACTTGGCTCTTTTTCCCTGCTTACGAATCCCAACAGCAGACACACCCTTCTCGTTCCAAAAATCAATCACCCAGGATAACGCCTTCAAGATAGATTTATGTGGCAAGTTGGAGAACATCTCCTTAATGTTGAAGGAGGCACCTACCATATAGTCTTTCTCAGTCAGTCCTCGATTCACAAACTTAATAGCGGTCAGTAGACGATCAACACTTCCCAGATTAAAATTTGAGTCAACCGGCAAATTCCACAACATAGCGATAACGGTCCGGGAAGCCACACGACCGCCAGCTGCAGAACATTCAGAAAAAGACGGACAGATAGGTCACCACCGGGAGATATCCTTATGCTTAGGTAGGCAATACGCCGAACCAAATTTCCCAGACTTCTTCCATTGACCAACACTCTACAACCCCTTCGCACAATACCTACTTCTGCAATCCTCCAAGACTGACTCCACTTCATCATTGCATGGGAGAAAAACCGGATTCTCGCCAAACAACTTACACATTCCCTTTCGATACAACGTAGGGCAACATACATAGGAATCACCCGGATTGTGGTCGATAGGGCAACAGACCAACCCGCGAAGAAGAAAAAGAAAGGTATCCAATTCGTCCTCACAGATAGTAGACTCAGGAATCACCTCGTTACCGGGCCGTCAGATAACCACGAAGAAGATCAGGAAGAACAGAATCAGGAACATGGAGGGAGGAGTGGGACTCAAAACCAGACAGAATCTGGGAGCGAAGAAGAGAGACTGAGCGAACACGAGACGGACGAACCACATTCCTGGAATTGCGAAACCAGTGGGGAAAAATGCCAGGCAAATCATTGATCCTACAGGAGACATGGCCATTGATACGTGGGAGCAACTCATGAGCACCAGCGCAAGGGAAATTAGTGGAACTAGATCTGGCAAAAAGTCTGAAATCATGAATCAAATCCCCAATACTTCGGTTGCGGCGCCACACAATGCGCAATCGAGGAACAAGCATCGCCTTCCATCCCTCCCGAATACCCAGATTACTAATAAGGTGTGAGCACAACTTCCGCACATTTGCCTTGCAAATCCGATAGTCATACACAAGCTTAACGACTAACCTCTGCCTAATATGAAGTCCATACTCAAGCAGTACATGCCGCGATAAGATACATCGTAGCCGAAAACGAGCCCGCTTCTCGCTAAAGGTACGAATAGTCGTGTATGCAGCAATGACCAAATCAAACTCCCACGTCCTCAGCTCCGCACTAAGAGCGAAAGAACGACTAAGAAAAAAAATAACAGGATCGAAAGTCAACACGACACCACCCTTCAGCCAACCTCGGGAATACCGAAGCTCCTGCTTCCCAAAACGACACTCAACCAGGCTTCCACCATACAGTCGCTTCAAGACCTTCCATTGATCAACCAAATCATCCCCACCCACACAAGAAACCACGATGCGATGAACACCTTTATCCTTACAACAATTCAGAATCTTAAGCAAGTTGACCGACTGAAAGCCATCGGCCACACAGAACGAACAGAGGGAGCAGCGAGATGGACCAACTTTAGACAATGCAACAACACACTCCCCGCCCGTCCGTTTCTTCCTCAGCCTTTCCTTGATACCAGCACGTTTCCTACGAAATCTCTTGGGTTTGTCTCGCACATTGCGGGCAGGGGAAAACAAACGAATAAAGAACTTCTTTGTTTCCAACAAATCATCCGCAGAACAGCGACATAAAGGTAGAATAGCATAAGTGTGCGCACCACACCTCCGAATCCACCGATAAAGTTTTTCATTACGTTTACCACCGTCTATCACTTTCGATTGGCATGCTCTATAGACGTGCTCTCTCCATCGTGTATGGAGATCATGGGCAGTACTACCTATATAGAAATGACGCGACCATGGAGACACAAGGGCATACACTAGAGGACCATCCCACTCATCAACCGTATGAGAACCCCCGACCAACGGGAAAAACCCTAACAACTTATCACCCCACAGAATCGCATTCAACAACATCAAACTACAAATAGCAGTACTAAACAATAGGTTAACATCCTTGTTACGCAGCCAATCAATCGAGGCAGCACGAAGTCGACAACAAAAACGGACTACAAGCCACAAAAATGTCGCGTCCAGGCGTGATCCTAAGAAGAGGCAGAATCACGTCCGTCGCTCGGTTCAGAGTTGTCCCCTCCGTCATCCGTCACCTCAACCACAATGTCTTCCTTACCTTTCCCTTTACTATCGTCAAGATCGACTCCAACTGCCCTGTCAGCACGCCCTTGGGCGATCGCTTCCGTGGTGGGATCAAGCGTGGTGTATTCCACACCCTCTTTGTCGCAAATATCAATAACTTTCTCCTTACGTTTTCCACGTAACTCCTTTCGAGCAGCTCGTAAGAAAACATCCCTCTGCATGGCATGGTCAACCAAGTCAACAACAGTTTTTCCCTTCGTAGTAGGTACGGCAGCTTCATCCATCTTCCTCCTAAGATTCGTACCCTTCAAACGCCTGCGGGTGTTGAGTCTTGCCATCTCATTCTTCAATCTATCAACCTCGTCCTCCGACTCCTTCCTGGCCTTGACCTCTCGGGCGCGCATCTCCTTAAGCAGCTCCACCTCACGTTTGTGCCTTTCTACGATGTTCTTCAGCTGGACATCAACCCTGCCACCAGAGCACGGTGGAACCACAGGGGTAATCCTTGCCCGAACCCGAGCATCACTGACAGGAGTGTGACCAATAGCCACGCTGCCACGTTTGTTGCCGGGGCGAAGAGCTTCATTCCTCCATACGTCAGCATTCGCCTCGGCCGCTTCACAATTTTTTTGAAGAGCAAAGATGACTTCCTCCAAGGTAGCCAGACGCTTGTCCGTAGCAGCCTTCACATCAGCATGTTCCTTCCTAAGACGTGCAACCTCCTCGGCTTCGCAGGTGGTCTAGAAAACAACTGCAGAAGTACTAGCAACATGCTTTCCACGTTTCAGTTTCTCGACTTCAACTCGTAATTTAGTAACCTCATCACTATCCACCTCCTTGGACTTCTGAGCACCTCCCAAGTTATAGCAACGTCGTGTGAGTACTTCAACTTGCGCACGAAGCTTCCCCACCTCATCGTCACCACCGACCTTCTTGGCATTGACCGCTTCGCATACTTTATCGAGTTTGGATGCCATCTCTTTGTGCATCTCCCTCTGGAGATCTTCACGTTCCTTCTTTTCCTTCATTCTTCTCTCCTCATCTTCTTTCTCACGCGCCTTCCGATCCTCATCTTCACGTTCTTTCTTAACTTTAGCCTCATCAGCCTCGTGCTTACTATTAATCCTTCCTACTATCTCCTCTAGTGATCTAACTCTCTGTCCCAACCCACTGCCACCCGCCCCTCCATTGTAACCAGAGTAATAAGGTACGGCAGTTCCCACGTTCGACGCAGGTGGCACAGTCAGCAACGGCTGAGCAGGTACGATTGCCGTGAAAGTCTGAGCTCCGTTCAACCTTCGATCCGGAAGCGGACGAAAACGAGATATATGACCCGGTTGACCGTAATTGTAGCAATTGCGATTAGCAGGCAGCATTGGATTACCATTAGACGCCATAGTCGATGTCGAAGCCACGCGCCGGTAGTATCAATTTTACCACGGTTACTTCGTGAGAAAAAGATATGTCAAGCTTTAATAGCATAAGACACAGTAAATAGCCTTGAGATCCGAACGTGCACCACCACACAAGAACACAGAGAATAAGAAGAAGGAGATAGAAGATAAGGAAGATAGAGGAAGAAGAGAGAGGAAAGCAAACCAAATCAAGGAATGGACGAGTGTCCCGAACGCGACTTGTTATAGCGAAAGAATGAACATTAAGCACAAATTCGGACAAAAAATCATTCGACCGGCGTTAAGACCCGACCGGTTTCGCCTGGCCGCCAACCARGACTCATCARGGGTCTAAGTCACTTAAAGGACACTAACCTAAGACCTACTTATATACGACCRGACCCTGAGAAAACAACCGAYCGCGCCCTGCACAAAGCAAGCGTCATTCGAACACTAGCCACGATCCGAAATTTTTAACGATCCTTCAACAGTTCGAACCTTCGTAGAAAGGCAAAAAGGAAAAAACAAAAAAGACTAAAAAGGAAACAGGTCATCGGTACGAACCCCAAGAACACCCTAAAAAAAAGGGGGAACCACGTAGAGCATCAAAAACAAAGTCCACAGCAGTAACTTGTGAATCCGACCTAAAAAATAACCAAGAACCAGAAAGGACCCCACAAAGGACTGAGAACTCGTCGACAGCAGTAACCTAAGGAACCATGAAGGACCGAATAGAACCTCCACGCGTAGAAACCCAAAGTCACCTAGACGAAGTAACCGAACCAGCTACGCATTCGTACAATCGAAGCACGAAACCGCATTCAACACAGGTGAGTAAAAAATAACAAATCTAACTAAACCAACAGATGTCTTCGCCAAAGCCGGGTAATGGCCCCGGTACCTCAAATGATTTGTGTAACTCTATATGGGACGCTGGGCCTGGTTCCCAGCACGTGCTGCTCCCCACGAATAGATTGGAGCATTGTCCCAAAAAAAAAAAAAAAAAAAAAAAAAAGGACGCTTGATATCCCCCCGTCTACTTCCAACACCAACCAACATTGTTCTAACCGCAGATTTACGAGTAAAACAGCATCTCGAGACCACCAAAAGCAACTGAAAGTCCATTTTGAAGATTTGGGGTACCGGGGCCATCACCCGACTTTGGCGAAGAAAAATTGGAGCCAGATTAAGAATTACTACGACAAAATTCAAAAAATAGGCAAGACTTCAGAAAACGCCTCAGAAAACCCCATCTATCCTCTTTACCTCACTCCAGCAAGACTTACTGCAGCAGAGCCACCATCTACGCTGCTGTTGTACCCTATTTCCATCCTACCAGCAAGCCCCCTCACTAGTAGGACAGATGTGTCCCACCCTCTACTTCTCCCACTCACGCAAGCAAAAGTTCAGAGAACGTCCCAGAACCCCCCATCCATCCTCTTACCTCACTCCGGCAAGACTTACCGCAGCAGAGCCACCATCTCCGCTGCTGCTGTACCCTATTTTCATCCTACCAGCTAGCCGCCTCACTAGTAGGACGCTTGATATCCCACCCTCTACTTCCAACACCAGCCAACCGCGACGTTCTGCCATCCAACCACCACAGATCTATGAATATAACTACATCAGAGAAGCTTACAGTGAGTGGCAAGAAGCCCCTAGAATCCGGAAGCGTTCTCATACCCACCAGAAAACAAATCAAACTTACTCATGAAAAATGAGAATCCATTGGGATTATCTGAAAGCCGATATAAACAAAAACCTGCTGCCCCAATGCTATCAACCGACTATCATACGACTGCCTCGACTCACATATCCAAGATACCAGGCTCTTCCAGGCCTCACACCCCCAACCGTTGGGTTACAGTGCGGCGCGACCCACCCCAGCTCCGACCCGCGTCGTCCTAATACCAGCTCGCAGTTAGCCACTGGACTGCCTTCCACCCTCTACAGTTCCCCAGCTCTTTCTACCAGGCCTCTAACCTCCGCATACTCAGGTTACAGGGCAGCGCAACCAAACCCCAGCTTCGGCCAACGTCGTTCTGGCATCGACCAACCCTAACCTTATGGACATGATGGCGATAACCCACCGTCGGATAATCTGTTGAACACATCGCGGCAACTAAGGCTTCAAAATGCCCGGCTTCCTCCATGCACCGGTCGTGCTCAACACCCCCAAACCACCTGAACTCTCCCCCTGACCCCCCTCCTGCAAGACTTATCACAACGGAGACACCATCTCCGTTGCTGCTATGCCCTATTTCAGTCCTACTGACTGACCCCCTCGCCAGCTGGACGAGTCACCTCCCTCCCACTACTAACCCCTCTCAAACAGGAATGTATCACAACGACCAGTGCAAGAACAAAACACTAGAATCGAAGCATCAGAAAAAACAAGATTCAACAAATTCACGAGACCATTGAAATTCTAAAAAGTTAGAGATCACTATTCAAGATCAGAGACGAGGCTCTGATTTACGATCGTCAATATGAAAAGAACAAATCGAGAGTTATTCAGAAATTTTGGAGATAATTCATGATCACACTGTCTTGAATCAGTTATGTCGATTATTCTTCACAAGGTTATTGAGAATCTAGAAAATTAAAAAAAGTTTAAAAAACATTATTCAAGATCAGAGGCGAAACTCTGATTTACGATCATCAACATGATAAGATCAAATCGAGAATTATTCGGAAAATTTTGAATTCATTCATGAGTCCGCAGCTCTTGAATCAAATTAAAATTGAAAAACCTAAAGTTACCTGTCATGAGAAAATCAAATAGAAAAAATCCAAAAGATTAAATTTGAAAACCAGAGATTAAAATAAAAAAATCAGATTTACAATCATTTGAAAATCGAAATCAGGTTACTATCTTGAAGCTACTTCTTTAAAAACAAAATCCAAACGAAAAAAACGGAGGTCACTCAAGCCACGAAGAGTAAAACTATGGATCAAAGCATATAAACTAACCTCTCTCATCATGATGTGTCTGTCTCCCCCAAACCTTCACCCCCTTCCTTATCGGGCCGAAGGCAACCCAGCCATCACATGGCCACTCTCTCGGCCATAAAAAAAAAAACTAAACAATAAGGACTAACGGACCATGGCTTCACTTGCCACGTAGTAAGACAAAACCACCGAACCTGTCGGTGACCCCTCACTGGTAGTTCGGGGTGGAACAAACCTTTCATGCCCTTCGTTGCCCTTCAGCACCTAACTCTTTCGTTGGACACGTGACACCCCGCCATTCGTAGCTCTGATGATGATGCTAGCAGCCCATACCCTTCGCAACCCTTCACAAGCAGCCTCTTCGTAGCAGCCTCATCCTCTACACATGATGCATCACCCTTATCGTCATCCTTCCCATCATCATCCCTTCACCCAAAACCTCTCAACCACCACCTCACACCACCCCGAATCCGCTCCCCCCAACACCGCACCGCACCGTCGCTTGTTGTCGTTCAGAGCCGCTTGATTCGACTTCACGCTGCTCCGCCGCATGTCACCGCTTGGCGCCGCTCGGCCTGACTGCGCGGACGGGGCGCAACGCTCTCGGCCGCGCTGCGCCCCCTTGCACATAACGATATAATCCAAGCTCACTTTTATGCGGCACTCTATAACCAACATATTATCTTTCTTTCCACTGTTCCTCTGTCATCGTTAAACCAAGATCTGGGTACCATGGACAATGGAGGAAAAAAAGGGTATACCAAAAATCATCCAGTCTTCATCCCATTCAAAATTGTTGTTGCAGATGTTTCACCAAATTCAGTATAAGCACCACAATTCCAAATTCTCCTAGACAAAGGGCATGCCAGCCAGATGGAGGTAGTCCATTTGAATATCCATTTGCACCTCCTACAGGTAAGCTCAATGTTCATTTCCCTTCGTACTCCTCAACCAAACTGTTGAGGGTGTTACCCTTAGTGTGAGCATCCATAAAGGGGTCGCAGGGCGCTGTGAGGGAATTAACTTCATGTCCTTCCAAGCTATTCCGTCAGTTGGGAGACTCTTAGTGGGTCTTTAGACTCTTTACCTGTGACCTGTGCCCAACTTTCGGTTGTCACTGCTACTGGTGGGAGTGTGCCTTGCATCTGCAAGGCATTACACATATTTGAGACCACAAGCTCTTTGTTTTTTAATCACGGGCTTGGTTTTGGAAGGAAGGAAGTGAGCTTGGTCTTGGAGGGAACGAAGTTTCGTAAGGAGACCACGTTGTAGATGAGTGTGGACCACGTCGTCAACCTGGACAAGATCAATGAGCATGGGAAGATGGAGGATGCGGTATGGGAAATTTTTTGTAGATAGTGCATGAGATCTCCTCTTGCACGTCCCCTTTGCCGACTTCTGTTACAGTAGTGAATATGGTGAAGACATAGTTTTACCCCATCAGTAATGGTGGAAGGTCGAGGTTCCAAGGGTCCCGTTGTTCGCTGATGAAAGTGGTAAACTTAGTGTAGAGTCAGACAAGTAATCTCCAACCTTATTAGTTCACTATGTGCATGAAAGTCCTAACCTATTTATTGAAGGGTAAGGGGCTCGTTCGACACTCCTCGGGCGCGTAAAGTCCCCGAGGAATTGTTCGTTCCACCTATCCTCAGCGATGCAGTCGGCAAAAAAAAAGTGAAAACAATCCGAAGGAAATTCCTTGGGCTCTGAGGATTCCCCAACCGTTTCTTCCTTTTGCCCAAGGGACCTCACGAGGTCCATTGGGCAAAAGAAATCCGCGTTTCACGGAGAGGAGTGGGCACATGGGTAGAAAGACGTTACAAGTTGTCGAACTGGCGGCACCCTATTGGCTGAAGGCCTCGAACACATTTGATTTTTTTTTTTTTTTTTTTTTCTTGTCTGACATCATTCAAAGGAAATGTCCTCGGGCGATCCCCGAGGACAGGTGGAACGATGGCGGGAATTTCCTTGAAAAAACCCAAGGAAACTTCCTTCGGCCCCGAGGACGCCCCAAGGAGTGTCGAACGAGCCCCTAAGTTTTAAAAACAGCGCATCGCAGTAGTTTAACAACAAAAGTATTGGCGGGGCCCAAACTTCATTGCATGGCGGTAGTTTAACA